AGCTTGCCGGGTAGTGCCACAAGCAGCTGCATAGAGGATTCGTATGGACGAGTTTTATTTAAGAATATGGGCATGGGGCTTAGGGTTGAGATATGCTTTAAGGTTTTAGGTGCTTAGGCTCGGATCGTTTCACCCCTAGGACTACTAGTAAGGTGTAGATCGTCATGAGTATAGCTAAATTAACAGTCCGGAACCCCGAAACCCCCCAGAAGCTCCTAGTGGGTATCCTGGTTTACGGTTGACATCTTACTGCTCGGGTTATTATAGTCCTAATCCAAAACCTTCCCTGGTTTATCCTGAGGATCCTGGCTGCTGCTTGTGTGGGTTCGTTCTCACACAATGAAAAAGTTGTGCTGGGAGCGGTGCTGGGGAACAAAGTTCCGGGGCAACGCCGTTGAAAAGTTAGTTTCGATCTGTGAGTGACCATGATGATGCACACAGCCGGTGCAAGCCGCACAGTAATTGCATCGAGGTTTGGCTCATGTAGGAACCGAATACATGTACGTATGGTGAGGATGATAACTACTTTGTGTAGAGTTTACGATTTAGAGTGTTTAAGTTTGAGGTCAAGGGTTTTAGGTGTGGTGTTTCGGGAGCTCACACTCAAGGTGTACGTATGGTTGAGGCTGGAAGGTTTAGGTTTAAGGCTTATTATAGAGCGGGCTGTGCATATATATTTGTATCGTAGCACGGTGGGGTGTCCATGGTCGATGAGCTTCAAACGTGCTCGTGCAGCAGACCAAACCCAAGGTTCCTGTTACTTTGATCTCCATGAGTATGAAGACACGTTGCCTAGTGAAGGCGGGGACATCGAGGCTGCTAAGAAGTTTCGACGTCTGCTGGTCGAGAGGTTTTTGGATGGTTCTGCTACGGCAACCGACACTTGTCAGCTTGCTTGCTGGCACGTGGCATCAGGGGGTGAGGGTGCTGAGGATCTGGCTTTGAACCCTCGGTCCGCTAGTCGTCATGCAGCTGAACATCTGAGGTCAGGGACTGTGTGCAAAACTCTGCAAAACCTGGAGAATGATATCCCTGAATCCTCTATCCGAATCTAACACTCCATTGATTAAGTCCCTGGTCCTTTCTCGTAATTTGCCCCAGGTGCCATCTGAATAAAGAATTCCCGGAGCCTGATGTGGAAATGGTTTCAGTTCCGATGCATCTGAAGAAGTCTGCTGGAAGGACCCTCGTACAGCACCCCACCCGTGTGACTTCGATCATGATACGCAATGAGCTGATGGAGCTTGGTATTCTTGAAGGCACAGCATCTCCTGAGATTGTGCAAGACTTCTTGAAACACGACGAGGAGCTAGGGGATCTATACGAACGCCATTATGTCACGATCGAAGCTCTCCGCCAAGGTTTCTCGCGAGAACACATCGTTCCTCTATCGGTATATTTCGACGGGGTCCAGTATTCCAAGAACGAGAACTTTTTGGGGTTTTATGTCACCAACTTACGCACAAAAAAGCAAAGGCTTGTTTGGTTGCTACGTACCCCGACAGCACATAGTAGATTTTATGTTATATTTGTCGCCTGTACATGTGCTTATGCATGTACGTGTATGTATATGCATATGTATAAGTACATGAGTATGTATATGTATGTTTGTACATAGCCCTGCTACTGAAACTTAAGGTCTGGAGTGTGAAAGGCTATATGGGTATACGGATATTGCTGTGTGTGTGTGTGTGTGTGGGTTTTTATTGTCTATATATATATATAGATATATATATGTATGTTTATATATATATATATATGTATGTTTATTTATATGTATGAATATAAACACCACCGTTGGTTGTCCTACGTGTTCTGTATATAATGTAGGTTGTGTCCTGGCTGAAGCCAGTACATATCGCAGATGTGTTCACGACAAACACAGGATTATCGGAACTTTGTGGATGTGGCTGCAGAGGCTGGTGTTCCGTGTTTCCATTATTGGAAGCTTTCAGGCGAGATTTGAGTGAACAACATCCGGATTTGAGATTGCCGATCATTGACTTCAAAGCTGATTGGGCTGCTTTGGTCGAGATAGCTGCTTTGAGAACGTGGTCCCATAATCATCATGCCTGTCCTTGTTGTCTGGTCAAGAAAGCACAGCTTCCAAACATTGATGGTTTCAGTGCGAGATCGTGCCCATTCCCGTTGTATGACAAAAGCAAGTACGAAGCTACTTTGTCGAAGAACTTCAAGGACCTATGTTCTAAAACACTAGAGCGCTTACAGGCTTCATGATGTTTTAAGTATTTTTCGCCACTCAAAATTCGTTTGTGTCCGGTCGTTGGATTCCGCATATAGCACCTTATATGCTCACGTACGTCCTAATATTAATATGTCTATGTAGTCGTCAACAACATAGGAGGTCACGATTCCGGATGTGGATGTTCAACAGCAGATCTCGAAGCTTTTGCACTATCGAAAAAAAGGCCGTGGCCGTGGACGCTGCTTGCTGAAAGCATTCCAACAGCTAGGGCTTCCGAAATGGGCTAGATTGGAGCCTTCTACACTGTTGCCAGATGTGGGGTCCTTCGAGCAGCAGCAGTCTCCATTCAGTTGCATCTTTTATGTGGCTGGTGAACACGGCCGTGTGTTGCACGTGTCTCCGCTTTTGCAAATCCCTGGAGTCAGCTTGAGTTCTTGGTGCATCGACTTGCTACATACGTGGCATTATGGACCCATGTCTACTTATCTGACATTTGCTCTTCGTGCTTTGCTGAGCACAGATATCTACAAGCCTGGCAATTCAGCGGTTCTAGACAAAGAAGAAAATGACAAGCTTTCTTTGATGGCCCTCAAAGCGGAATTGTGGATGTTCTACAAGCACAGACGTGCCACAGACAAGGAGTGGAGCAAGAAAGGTTCTGAGGTGGGGAGGAAAAGGATGATATAAGAATAATGATATAGTCGTGAATCTAAGCTTTGATGAGTAGTTTATGTGGTGCCCGAAGACTTGAAGGCTTATATCGATCATTAAAGTTTAAACTACAACAAACTTAAGTGACTCTGTTAGAGGTAAACATCGCCAGATAACGAAATAGCCAGCATAGGCTGCTATTTAGTATTAGGGTTTTTGGGATAGCTGGATTAGAGATCGAGGGATGTTTGTCCGGAGCCCAAATAGTTTGCTAGTGAATAATTAGTGTAAAAGAACATCGAAGACCAGAGCCCGCTAATGCTAACCCGGATTCCCGAAACCGAATATACTTCGTAGGTGTGGAACCTCACTCTCACGATGCTTGCAGAGAAAGCCCTGAAGTGCAAAGCAGCGGAGACACACGGTCTACTTCGCTTTGTGGTCATGACACTTGAGAAATACAAGACGGTGCTTGAGGGCAATGAAAATTCGCACATGTTTGATCTACTTCGTCGGGCAGGGTGTGCAGCCGAAGCATTCGATCAGATTATGAACGAGCACAGCAGAGTGTTTCCGCAGGACGCATGCGACGCTTTGCATACACGATATCATCGTTTCATACAGCTGTGCTCAAGGGCTGGTGTGCCTTTCCTACCAAAGGGCCACCTCATGTACCACCTTGCTTCTCAGGCCAGGGTTAAAGGGAATCCCAGGATGTATTCTACTTATGTGGATGAGTCCTATAACGGGGCCATTGCTAAAGTCTGTCGTTCAGTTCATCGTCGACATTGGGCAATGGCCGTCTACCGCAAGTTGCAAATGCTGGAAGCTTTGGCTACTTCATCTGCTGACGACTGAAATGGTCGAGTCGCTTATTGCTGCCACTTGGCATATATAGCAGCTTCGCCCAATCCTCAAATTCCATTTTCGATGGTAGGCCCCACTGACATGACTGATTCGACCAGTCACACTTCTATAGGGTGCTTGAGAAAGTAGCTTTGGTTTTTGACACCCAGTTCAACTCAGGGCTTAGGGTTAGGGTATTGCAAGCTACGAAACCCGTATACCACACGAATTGCGCCGGCGAGCTTTGCTCAGGAAGGGGGATTTGATTTGGCTTCAAGGTGTGTGGTTTATGGGTTAGGCTCGGGTTTCGAGTTCGGGGCAATCAAGGGTTTAGGGCGAGTTCTGGCTCAAGGCTTGTATGTTATCTGAGTGAACGAACTATTGGAGGTATGGGCTTCCACGATTTAGGGCTTAACGGTAGTGAGATTTCGGCTGCTTTGCCGTAAATAAAGCTCTTTTGGTATAGTCAACTTAACTTAATTGTACGCTTTCGTACAAGTCGAAAGAGCACCCCGGCCCCAAATCCCACGAAAACCTCAATTCCGAAAACCGACACTATAGCCCTAACACCTCGGAAATGCAAAATATCTCCCAAAGCCTAGCTGAAACCCACTTCCCCTCAAATCCGAATCGAGGCCGAACCTTTCCAGATCCAGTTTCGTAGCGGTTTAGATTTCGGATACAAGTATAGTGGGTTAAAGGTTTTAGTTTTAGTTTCATACTTCATAAACCAAAGGACGATGGCTTTGGTGGTCGGGCGAGCACTACGGTGGATCAGGAATCTTGGTGGCTCCCAGAACTTTTTGAGCTTTAAGGGGGCACTGGCCTAGGCTTGGGCTTGGGTTTGGGTCTTGATTCGCACAAACCACAATTCAATTAAGGATATGCGACGATGGTTCAGATGGGGCTTCAGCTGCCTCACTTCGTGTACAGTGTGCTTTCCGCACGACGGGGCTCTCGAACTTTCGATATGTGAAATATATAAATTACTCTTGGGGGTATGTTTCCAAAGACCTTGTAATCCATACCAAAAGGCTTAAAAAAGCCGAGCCCTGTGCCAAGAGTCGGCCCGCAGAGCAGATCGTCGATCGTCACCGGAAACAGCCCAGAGGGTTGGAAGCTTCCCAGGGCTAAGGGGTAAAGTTTCGGTGTTCTCGGTTTAGGGTTTCGGTTTAAGGGTGTTTAAGGTTTACGGGTTTTGGGGATATAGTGTAAGGGTTTAGGGGGTATGGCTTAGGGATGTTTAGGGTGAACGGTTAAGGCTAGGATTTAGGAAAGGTGTAGGGTTTAGTTAGGGGGGTGTAAGGTAGGTTTACGGTTTCGGGCTTGCTGGCGCTGGAAAGATCCCAAGGTCCCAAGACTTATTCTATGTTATTTATGTTCATAGCGAATCCTCAAGACTCGGAGTTTTGACAGTAGTACAGATTGTGCACCTGCAGTTGCATGTAAAACTGACCCAAGCTTTGACCCCAAAGGCCCAAACAAATATCAACAACTCGTAGTCTGATCCTGTTGAACGAATGGCTCTTTGAAGCTTGAGGTCTGAGGCATTCAACTCAAGCTGTATATAGTCTGGTCGGGAATTTCCGTATGCAATAGGATTTGCGGGGTTCCTTGCCCCCAAACACCCGATCGATATCTAGAGAAACACCTCAAAGCCAACACACCCGAACCCCAACCCGCCGAAACGAACCACCCGCACAACATGCTAAGAATCTCAGAGAACAGACAAGGGGAGAGTAAGGAGAGACTAAGTATTTTGGCTCAAACACGTTTTTTGGCTCAAACACAATATGACCACCGGAGTTTCAGCGATTTTCATTATCGCCGTCCCAAATCACCGAACTATATGCAAATACCGGCAGCCAATAGTGCATAACAGTAGCAACTGCTTGCCGTCGCCACCTTTTGCACTATAAACCAGAAGAGTGAGCTTGCGGTACATTAGCGGGTTAAACTTACGGACTTTCGGCTTTTTTTGCTCAAGTTGTAGGTTTCGCTGTCTCACCCAAAAATGGTCGCGGATCCACTTTTCATGGGGTGGCTCTAACTCGGACCATCAACATGCGGATCTACTTTTTGGATCCGGCCGGGGGTCTGGGTTCCTCATCCACCATAAATCTTGTGATGGCATGAAACTTCCCTCCGTAGTCAGCAACAATGTGTTTGAGACCTCCACCAAACTTGATGACCATGGCGAGTATCTCCCCATAGGGTTTGTCCATGTACTCCTCCGGGGCAGCAAATAAGCAAGCTTTGAGGATTTCTCGGACTCGAATGGAAAGATCCCCTCCTGGCGACAGATTTGCACACGTGAACAGCAAGACCAACGGAGGTGCTTTGAAAGCTGCCCATGTGCGAATGAGATCATTGTCGACCACTTTGTCTTTCGTAATCTTTGGCGGGAGCGAAACGCTCTGCGACGAGTCCCCAGAATACATCTCCAGGAACTTGTGGAACTTCAGAAACGTCCGCATCATCCCACCAGAAGGGAAAACTTCTTCGTGGTCCACTCCTTCGAAGGCCAGCTCGTAGGCATTGTAGCTTTCAGCCATGGCTCGGGGTTCGGTCCTTCCTCCGTAGGAGAGAAGTCCCTACACCCTACTCGACTTCACGGTTCCGGGTTCTCCGTAAGAGGCACCCTTCCCCGATCCGTCTTGTCAGACCTTAGTTGTTCCTTAGTTGGGGCTTTCTAATAGCCCCTTCATCAGCGTCTACACACTGATGTTGCTGCCATGCAATGTCCTCAGATTCATGTGCACCGTGACTGACACTGACATGAGCTCGAACAAGGCTGCGAACATTCTTCGCAATCGACTGCCATGAAACATCAATGCGCTGCGACAAACTGCTCTTCGAGTCATGGTCCAAGCAATCATCCAGTCTCACCATCAAACGTTCCGCTTCAGGCATGTTAGAGAACATGATCCTGCGTCCACCACCCTCGCCACCAGCACCAACATGGTCATCAATCTTAACCTTCGTCACCTTGCCACTTGAAACAAGAGCATGCAACTCTGGCCAAGACCAACATGAACATGAAGAAGGCATGTCAAGCGAAAAATAGACGTCGGAAAATTCCGCACACTTCTTCAGCAGGCGTTTGAGAGATTTCAAGACACTTCTGAAAACCTTGTACTTCCCACCGGAACGTTTCTCACCCCCCACGCAAGCCCCTTCACTACTTCCAGGACCAGCACCTGATCGCAAAAGCGATGCCACGAATAGCACAGGTGTGCGCAGGTCATTCCGGCACGCATCCTTCATCGCACCGATAAGGCTGTCCTCATCGGCCTTAGAGCCAATCAGCTCCTTGCAAGTTATGCGAGCGCATCCCTTAGTGGGCTTAGGCACGGCGTAGCCATTGCCCAAGCCACAGAGGTCAACAATCATGCGGTCTGGCTTTCGTCCACCAGCCTTCGACGGCATGGCTACCAATCTCCCATCGCCCGTTGCCTGAAATTTCAAGGCTTTAAGCAATCTCCTGGAGATTTGGCTAGTCAACTCGCATTTATCAGATCGATCCTTAGCGTCCGAATCGGTCATGTGCAAATGTTTGGACGAGCACACGTCAGACGACTTAGGATGCAACGCGACGTTTGCGGCAATGTACTCCCATTCATCCTTGCAGTAGCCGAGCTCAACGGCGGTTCCGGGAGATACAGGATCCCGAAAGGTATAACGTTGCCCGTGAGTGCATCCTTGGATCTTGATGCTCTTCCACATGGCATCTTCCTGAAGTCCCTTGTACTGCTTGGTTTCCTGGACTGGTACTCGAGGAGGTACTTCGATGATGATTTGGAACCCCCATGATGCCGCTCTGCGCGCAATTCTTTGGACGACCTCCCCCCATGGGTAGTCTGTCCGCAATTTGGCCCTTTCAGGGTTGTCAGCGATTTTCCGACTCAGCCACGAATTCTTGCCTAACACCCCTGCACCAATGAAGATCACGGAGTTAGGGTTGTTTTTCCTTGCTTCCACCACATCGAAGAGGTAGGCACACATGGCGTCGTCAACTTCTCGCCCCATACTCAGAACATTTACTTGCAGCCCAGGGTCATAGTGAGAATCGGGAGCATGCTGCGCAATGCAATCCTTGCCTGGAGCATACTCATTCCACCAGTTCTCCTCATCGACCCCTACCAATGTCCACACCGTCACTGCTTTTGGAGCATCTTTGATAGTGATACGGTATTTCCACCGGCTGTAAGGATTCTTGTAAGTATGGACCAACCCTCCATCGTGGTCGAGGAATTGGATCACCAGGCCCTCCTTGGGTTTGTTTTCGGCGAAATTGACCACGTGAGGCACAATTGCTCCATCATATCCTTGATATTCCCTTTTCTGTTCAGCCGCATCATGCCATACATCCTCGTACACTGACGACCATTGGTCATAACCGAATTGAGAGGCTTGACTTTTGGACTGGCCGTTGAAACAAAGAGGCAATGTAAAGCCCTGGTACCCCCCATGGATGGCACGCGCCAGTGTGACAACCACCGCTCGCCATTTGGCGGGCAGGGCGCGCACATAAGACTGGCCCAAAGGCGGTTCAGGAGGAGGCAAAAACGGCGGCGCAAGGACGTCCGCAATAGCTGCGGGGCGCAAATGCCCCCGTACCGGATGGTACTGAAACACAGCACGCTCCACATAGCGGTCGAACTTGCCCGGTTGATCAAGGATAGCAGCACGGTCCTCCATCTGGTGCCACTGCCCTTCACGAAGAATCCAAGTCGACCGAAGGTAACGACCAGGCGGCAACGCGGAAGGCGGCCCCCGCAACATGCGCGGGAACTTGACAACCAGGATGGGGTCCACACTGTCATGTTCTTGCAAGCCTTCCTTACTCGACAATCCAGCGCGATACAACACCTGAGGGAGGATCGGCGTCTGCGTGTAAGGAAAACAAGGCACCTCGCTCTTGAACGAGTAATGCTGTTGCCCCTTCTCATCCGTACTTTGGGTATGAGTAGGGCGCATCAGATCCATAATCTCTTGGGAGCCAATGAGAG